TATATGTATATGCATATGAATATACATATAATATATAGACAGAAACACGCACGCATACACATATACATATACATATACACATTTATGTATCGTTACACATTGCAAATATACCCAGACACTCAAGACCATTTGTAAACTATGAAACTGAGAAGACAAAAAGGAACTGTCACCTTCGCTTTAGACGGCGCGGGCGCGCGTGTGCCTGGCCTCAGGAGCCCAGCGCCTCCCTTGCTTCTGGCGGCATGAGGAGGCCTTGCCGCAGCCAACGCTGGAAGAAGCCCTTTTCCCGGCTTATGCATGCCAGACGCAGGAGTGCCTGCCGCAGGCGCAGTTTTAGCCTTTCTCGTCGCACACACAGCGACGCCGCTTGTCCTTAGGATGGCCTGGTTCAGTCTGGGAATGCTGGACCTGCCCGGAGGCAGTCTGGCCGCCACACTCATCGCGCGACACCTCTGGTCACGGGGCGACTGCACGCGCGCGATTTACTGGAGAACTGGGAGTAAGTTCTGTCTTGCATTCCCGGAATTCTGCACACACCGTGTAGGTCTCTTCTTCGTCGAACACATGTGCTTGAAATAGCAACTTGTCAACACAATGCAAATTTGTCATTAAACCTACGAGTATGATGCTTTGAAGTAATACCTCTACAACTGTCAACACACAAACCACTGTGCACAAAAGATTCTTTCTCCTTCAAAATAACTATACACATGACCCAAGCTGGACATTTTACCAAAAGCTCACACCAATTTTCATGTAAACTTTGATTCCTTTCTCTGGCACTGAAATCACCAGCAATTTGCCGGCCATTAAACACACGATGTTTACAACGCAACCAATACAATTGCGCACTCTAACCGAATAACATCACACTGTAAGAGAGATCACACGTGTCCGTATCGCAGTCCGCCGCGACACACCCACGCAGAGAGAGGCCTCACGTCCGCCGCGTGTGGCGGGTGCGGGAAAAGTCGCCCCACAGAATTCCCGGACAAGAAAGTACCCTGCCCGACCGCAAGGGCCGCGACCCGTTTTCTTCGCTGCCACGATGAAACGAGGAGCCAAGGGCCTCCCCGCCTCACGAAAGCTCAAGACTGGGCCTAGTTCCACGCTTTCAGAAAAGTAAGATTTCATATTTACATTTTCTTCCGTTTAGCTTACGATAACAAACAAACCTACAAGAATGTGAACATGATAACTGCGCCTGTTTCTCCAAAATTCTTCATACTTTCAAGTACATTAGCAACCTTCTTATTCATTAAAGTAAGCTAATTAAATAAATCTAAAGAAATATGGCCCAGACATTAATATCAATAAAGAAGAAAACTATTGCGATAAAAAACTTTTTCAGTTATCATTCCCCAGTTTGGCTGTTTGGATGCAAAAATATATATGTAAATATGTTCGGCTTCAGCCTTGTTTGCATCACAGGTAAGAGGTATCAAAACCAATATATCTGAACGATGTATAAAACGCGGACTGTCAGCGCTGTATAATACAGACATTAATCACGGTGTACATTACTTCCCATCACCATTAGTTAAGTGCCACGCATGAAACACCGCAAGACGACCATAAATAACGCTCTGGGTCTTGATAAACGAATGCCGCCCTCGTCCCGCTCGCTCATGTAATCTCATCTGTTTACATCAACGTGATACGCATGTATCAGTGTCTCGAAGTACTGGCGTCTCGCTAAGTATTCGAACACTTTAAAGGCTGTTGCGGTGGCCATGCTTCTGCACAACCAGCTCAGGCTAAGGTTATGCGGCGATCTAGAATGGAACAACTAATAGCAAGTTATTAATCAAATGATAAGGAACGCGTAAGATTCTCAGTGTCTTCATATATATGCACAATCGTGTCATTTTAGCCAAGATAATAAATAACATTGCAAAAGGAAATTCTCATTTCCCTGAACTTTCTCCGCTTAACTAGTGTGATTTTCCGTTATTCCTGTTTGGTCAGTTGTTTGGCAGTTTCGCGGACATAGCAATGAAAGTTGTGCTGAAACCCTGCGGTCGCTCTCTCTATGGATCTCGCCAGGACAGAATTTTTCAAGAACAGGTCAGAGCATGAGATCGGATATCAGCATGCGGGGGAGAAATTCAGGTGCACCGACAAGTGCGCTCGCTCGACGGCTAAAACCAAATTCTCTGAGAAGCATTTCGGCGGCCGGTTTCATGAGAACAGATGTCGCTTTCATACAACTGACACTGATCGCTTGTCCTTGTTGCTTCCAGGTGGATTGCGCGCTCTGCTCGTTGCAAGAGAGTGGCTTATTCTCTGATGCAATTAACATTGGGAATACGATTCGTTAATATTTCAGGTATTTAGGTATAAATTGAATCGATTCCATTTTCTCAACCGATATACCAGCACCAATATTCCTATTTTTGAACTTCAATAATAGGAGGCTCTTAACCTCATCTAATCTCTCCTATCATTAGCATGATAAGTAATATGTCCTCCGTCTTCCTCGATGCCAGCCTGAACAATGAGAGCTTTTATATGCTTTCCGGTCCTCCAGCGCGCTCGAGGCCTCCCTGCGGAGACGCGCTCTGAGGAGGTCCGCCTTACCTACCGCGGCGGTCCCCGGCGACGCCCGCCGCCAAACCTGCTGCTCCGAAGTGCAGTCCTTTGACGGAAGGAGCAGTTTCCTCACTGACGGCTTCCTATCACCTCTTCGTTGGGCGGGCCAGTGGTAACATGACGAAAAGTACATCGTATGAAGTGTGACTACTACGCACTGCACTGTTTTGCAAAAATCGTTCCGTTTAACCGTTTGAAATTTCCAAATGATTTTCGCTGTACTGGCAGTATGGAAATGAGAAGATACAGTAAGGGCAGTAAGAGATATCCTCATACAGATATCAGTGACATATTCACAAGCTTGTAATAAATGATTTATTCGAGTCACCAATTTGCAGTCGACCGCCGGTCTTATTCCCGCTGGTTTCCCATGAATCCTTCTGCTGGGTTGCCAGGATAAAGTGTTTTCCTAGGAACATTCTGACCATAGTCGGCCAACTACATATCCTATATTGTTTTACATACTTACAATATACAAGTTAATCCGGTTTGTATGAAATTAATCCAAGGAGTTCATGTGCCATACAAACCGGATTGCGATCGATTTCCAGCCCTACATAAAAGCCGAGCTAATCCGACCCAACCCGGGGATTTTGCCAGGCCACAGAGTAAGTAAAACTGAGATGCAGTCTTAAGGCGTAAGTAAACCATTCCCAGAGTGGACGTGGTCGCAGGTCTCGAGCTTTACTGATTAATATTTCAGGTTGGAGCTGTTATGGTTACTATGTATTAATTCACCATATCGAACAAGAATAAAATCCCTTTTCTTTCGCTTTCTACATCTTTCTACTTTTATATTTCTGTTTGTCTTTTGCATTCTCCTTGTCCTTTCCTCCTCTGTACAATCACTATTATTATTGTTTCTCTTTAACGTTTACTCGTTTTGACAAAGGTGCACAAGCAAGTACTTGCAGCACCTCTCGCTTGCACCCACCCCTGTTCTGTTCTCCCCATTTAAAATCAAAGTTAATCATGCCGTTAGTGTATTCTGTTATCATAAATAACTTGCCCTTTCCCTGTTTCCTCTTGATATCCCCTACGCGTTTTGTCTAGCTAAATCTCATTCAGAAATCCAGTATCGAGACTTACAATGCATTATGAGCTTCCGATCACGTGTCATTTCCGGAAAAAAAAAGTTTTCTATTCAGAGATTAATTCAAGTGTCTTGTACAAAAATGTCCATTTAAGAGATTTATCAAAAAGTGTCCAATCCAGTAATATATTTAGAATAGTTTCCCTTCGAGTGCCGCAGTTATAAAAAATAGGCGTCTATCCCAGAAAAAAATGTTCATTCAGGTGCCCTTCTGAGCGACCAGTAGCACGTGGACCTCAAAGCCACGTTGCATGAGCATTTCTTGAGTGCTCCTCTCCCTTCGTCCGCTTCCTCCTCCTCCTCCTCCTCCTCCTCCTCCTCCTCCTCCTCCTCCTCCTCCTCCTCCTCCTCCTCCTCCTCCTCCCCCCCTCCTCCTCCTCCCCCCCTCCTCCTCCTCCCCCCTCCTCCTCCTCCTCCTCCTCCCCCTCCTCCTCCTCCTCCTCGATAGGCCATTCATCAAGGTTCCGTTATGAAGATTTTCTACGAAGGGAGATCAATATTTTGCTGGTCATGGGAGGCAATTAATGGCAGGGAGTAGGGGATGGACGCGCGGGAAACCCTCCCACCGTGGGGTACGTGGCAACTCTTGCCCGTGACCCACTTTAGGTCGCCAGCCAAAGCGATTCAACGATCCAGTGTGGCCCGCGACCTGCTGCCTCCTATCGCCCGGCGGGAATCTCCGCTCGGCCTACGGCCTGATGCTGCCCAAGATTTGGTGTCGATTATGCCCTCTTCATTAAACGATGTTTCCACTGTGACTTTCGACTTAATACCTATCTCCGATCTTCAGTCGCGGATGACCCACAGAAAGGCCAAACCTAAACTGGGTATATGCCCTTTGCACTAAGATACTGTAGTGTTATTGACAGTAATAATAGAAGTCTTGCTTTGCAGTTGGGATAACATAGGCTTAGAGCATTTGAGGTTGCACTGCCTTTCATTGGCAGGATGTGAAGCCATACGAAGGCTCTGGTAGCGCTTCTAACGTGGCCGGGAAGCCAGAGTTATGATCTTTTCATAGTAAGATTCCATAACCTAATTTCACACTTGAATTCCTTATAACTGGCTCCCATTGCCACAAACAATGGATGATGATAAACTTACCTTAAACTTCTATATGAGCTATGTAAACGCGTAAAACTTTTCACATTTGAGAAAACTGTGCCCGGACATCAGTATTATGAATGACATCATTCAAATTTATGGACTCCGAGAGGAAAAGACTCCATTCGCCATCATCAACACTGAAAGACAAATTAAACGGCACAGGGGCACTACATGGAAGGAAATTCCGAACAGAGGAACCTTTACTGAC